GGGCGGCCTACAAGAAGGCCGCACGGGTAACGGCCTTACCCTAGGCCTTGCCGGCACACGTGCTTTGCACCGAAAAGAGCCGGGATCTCGCACTTGGACCTCGTTTATCGAGTGCGTCTCGGCCGACGGGCACTGGCTACATCCCCTTATTATTTTTAAGGGAAAACACGTGCAAGATCAGTGGTTTCCTAGCGGGGAAGGCTCCTTTAACGACTGGGAATTCACCGCTACGGATAACGGCTGGACCAACGACCGCACGGGCCTAGAATGGCTGCAAAAGATATACCTTCCGGGCACCCGGCCAGACCCCCCTCAACCCCGTCTATTAATCCTAGACGGGCACGGATCCCACGTAACAAAGGCTTTTCAGTACCTTTGCTTCCAGAATAACGTTTATCTCCTATACCTGCCGGCTCATTCCTCTCACGTACTGCAACCGTTGGACCTGGGAGTTTTTTCCCCTGTTAAGCAGGCTTACCGGCGCGGTATCGACGCCCAAGCCCAGTTTTGCTGTTCAACTGTTGTAGGAAAACGCGTATTCCTAACAGAGTATAAAGCCGCACGAGAGAAAGGCATTACTTCGGCAAATATAAAAGCAGGGTGGGCAGCATCTGGCTTATGGCCGGTGCGGATCAGCAAACCCCTTATGAGCCGCCTTTTGCTCGAGAACTCGAACCAGGGGCCTCCGGGGACCTCCGCCGTTGGCACAGGGCAAATCAGGGCCCCAAAAACCCCTACAAAGATCTCCCATACCTGCCAGAGGGCCTGGAAAACTCCCACCAAAAGCCGGGAGTTGGCCTCCCAAATGGAGGATTTCACCTCTACAATCCAGGCCACCCCCACAAAGAGGCTTTTCCTCCGGAAGATCCGTAAGGGGTTTGCCCTGAAAGACCTCGAGATAGCTGATTATCAGCGAAAAATCAGCTCTTTAGAGGCCCAGTTGGAGGCTGCCCGCCCCCGGAAGCGCAAGTCGTTACATCCGGACCCTAATGAGACCTTTCTTTCCGGGCGCCAGATTTATAGACAAAGGGAGGGGCTTGAGGAGGTTGAAAGTATATCATCAGAATCAGCAGAAGAATCTGATGAGGGGGAGGTACAGGACTGCATCGTTGTGGGCTGAAAATGCTGTAATTTTGGCGTCGAAAGGTGGTGTTATCATGTGCGTGCGCCTAAAATTGAGTGGTGCAGAACAGGGGTGGTGCGGAACAGGGGTCTCTGACTTATACCTAATGCGACCGATCAGATCCGCCGGATCCAGCGCCGAGGTCAATTCCGCGCCTCTCTTTTTGACGACGACGATACTCTGAGGACGCCCTCGCCGGACCTGTTCGCCTTCAACTGGAAGGAGGCCAAGACTCCTTCGCTGGATCTAGCGGAGATTATTCCCTACGAGGACTGGCTTGAAGAACGCCTGCTTGCTTCCGCCCGGTCGAACAGGCCGGTTTCGCCGACGATACTCC